GCATCGCTGGATTCAGGCTCCCACCACTGGTCATGATGCATCCTGTTCGTGGAAACTTCTTAGGCATGTCTCCACAAGGGGATTTCCTTTTCTCTCCTCCAGGATGGAGCAGTACTGATGTGAATACTCCCATCTCCTGCTTCTATACTCTTACTTATTACATCCCTGGGAAAAGGAATCACATAGCTGATCCATGAGACTTAAAATAACACAGCATCCACAGGGCCACATTAAACAGGAAGTGGGGCCAAAGCCTTGACATGGCATCAGTGCAGGCTTGGCATTTGTCTCCCTTCTTGAGCCACTGGTACGCAGGCCAGTGGGCTCTCTGAGTCCACGAGTCAAGCAAATCAAAGAAGCTTGCTTCAGGCAAGAACAACCAGGTTTCTTTTCTCTTGTCCCACCTTCTCGGCCTGCTTGTGAGTAGGTAAGTCAGTATCATGCAGGTCCCGAGGTCTAGCCAGATTCCAAAAGGAGGTAGGAGACCCCCATGCTCTTTAATACAGCCTACCCAAAGCCAATACTGCACTTTGCCTCAAGTGCTCTGATGTGTTCTCAACTGGTTAGACCTCAGAGCAGAACACTGGTAAGTACTGGCACATTTATGTCCCCAACAAATACTTGTCAGTAGTCAAGACTCTTTACCTACAGTTTTAAGCCTACAGGACAAAAATATCTAAAATGCAGCTTCAGGTACTGCCGGGTTTATTTTACTCTATGGAAAGGTAATATTCCCAACCTTCCCGAAATAAGTTATTACTGGTGTTGTGCGTGTGTGTTTTCTAAGAAGGAGGCTGTAATAGTTCCTGTCTCTGAAAAGTCTTTGAGAGATTTGCTACAGGAATGAGGTTGGATTGCAGCTATCATTCAGTTTGAGATCCCTTCTTCCCCAAGTAGAAGGTGTTCATGAAAGGTGACTGTAAATGATGAATTTATGAAATATATTCATTGTCTCTCTGTCATCTAGTAGTATCATTTAATTCAAAGTATTTATGGAGAGTCCATTAAGGGATAGGAACAATTAAAGCCAAAAAGGGATTTATGTATCATAAACTTCATTCAACAATATAATCACTCATTCAACAAATATTTCATCAGCATCTACCATGTGCCAGGTGACTGTGCCCACAGTGTCCAACACCTAAATTAGTCTCAAGAAGGGAGAAAACCAGTGTTAAAATGCAGCCTCCCTCCCCCCTAGCAACTGTCTCTTTCCACATATGCTTTATCTTCATTTCTGACAGTTAGTAACTCCTTCTGCTTGGGCTTTACGCTTGTTCTTTGTCTGGCTTCCCCGATCCCAAATAATAAACGATCTACAAGCTAACACCCTGAATCTTTTTATATAATAAAGCTCTGTCTGTAATGCAAACACTCCTTCTGCTTGGGCTTTACGCTTGTTCTTTGTCTGGCTTCCCCGATCCCAAATAATAAATGATCTACAAGCTAACACCCTGAATCTTTTTATATAATAAAGCTCTGTCTGTAATGCAAATAATCACTTTATTATTCAGCCATGTTGTACACATGAATTTTCATAAAGCGGCCTACCCCCATAATACAAAAGAGCACTTTCCCCAGGAAGTAAAAAGGCAACTGGGACATGCTGAAAGAGAGGCTGGATAATCGATAACAACAGGTGGGATGTTGCTTGTCTTCCTAAGGGTCCTTTTCTTCCTGCTGATCTCTTTCTTCCTGTTTGCTTTTGATAGATGTTTAGGATTAGATCGGTAACCAGGGAATGATTCACACGGAATTGAAGGTTAAAATTTATTGACACAGATCAGTTTATTGGACTAAGGGTATATAAATCCCCACCAAAAAACTGGGTTTGGGCTTTCTCCATCAATTCTGAACATTAAGTCAACTAGTGCAGTTTCAGTTTTGAAGAAATTTCTACTACATTCTTTTGATCCACAAAACTATTTTTTCCATAGTTTGTATAGTGTTTCCAAATCAAACCATTCAAACACCTCTTAGAAAGAAGGCATTAGGTAGCAACATTTTAGCTTTGGAAACTTGCATGTAGTTACTTAAAACATTGGAAATTTTTCCCCTGTCCTTAAAATGCACCATATAAATATTGCATTTAATCCTTAACTTACACTTCATAAATAATTTATTTCAAAAATATTCCTCCATAAGACCATCAGTTGCTGAGGTGTTCAGTTTTCAGGGAAAGCATTTATTTACTGCATAAGCCCAGGAAAGCTGGTAAAGACTTGGCTAAAAGCTCCACATGGAGCGAATTATGGTAATTGTATTAATGCTCAAATCTAAGATGCTCAATGCTCAAATATGCTAAAAGGTTTTATGCTATATTGCCCACATCTTGACGGGCAATGAGGCCACTGGAAATGTTTAACACTTCATAGGGAGGCTTCCGAGATTCATTTTTCATAATTCCAAGAACTGCTAAAGAATATCTGGAGGTAGCTTCCAGAGGAGTTTCTGCAAGTCATAACTGAAAGTAAACATCCTTTTACTTCTACTTTGGGTTCAGACTGCAACTACAAGCGCAAGTCACCAGAAATGAAAATCAAAGGAAACATCACACAATTAATTCTGATGAATGGGTAAGTTTTAATTCACGAATGGCAATATTCTTGTTAATGGTTATGTCTCCTTAGGATATCCATTAAAAATCCATTAACTTAACAGGCAAAATCTAATAAAGTTACTCTGGACATTTTCTGCTAGATTAACATTATGGACTTTTAATGAATATCTCTTGTAGGTATTGCTCTATTAGCAGAGCTAATATACTGGTTAAGCATGTGCCTTCTGTGAGGCAGGAAAAAAGAGGAGGAAAATGTTGCAGTAATCAGAAAATCAGAGTTGAAGTTGGACCCAACTCTCCAAAGATACTGCTAAAATCAGTAAATATCACTGCAGCTTTTAAAATCAAAAAGTGCTGACCTCCCAGTACCAGTCATCTCAATCATTAATTCGGTTACTTACTACGCTATGCCCTGTGCTTGTACTGGGAATACCAAGGTAAATAAGCGAAAATCCTTATTTATGTCAAAGAGCTCACAGCCTAGTGTGGAATCAAGACATATAAACAGGCAATCAATATATACTATAATAAAGTTATGTTCAACATACAATGGGAACACTCAAGAAAGAACTAACTTTGGGGGGAGCATACAAATTTTAAAAATCACTTAAACAATTAAGTAAACAATTAAAGTGGAAATTTGTGTTCCTTTCAGATATTAGTTCCTTCTAGGCCCTCCCACTGGGAGGACTCCAATGCTGACTTATTGATGGAGTTTGGATGTGTTGTCCCCTCCAAAACTCATGTAGAAATTTGATCCCCAATATGGCAGTGCTGGAAACTGATTGAGTCATTGGGGAAGATCCCTCACGAATGGATTAGTGCTCTCCCTGGGGTGGGGGGTGGGGGGGGGAGTAATGAGTGAGTTCTCACTCTATTAGTTCCCGTGAGAGCTTGTTGTTTATAGGACCCAGGCACCTCCTCTTTCTTTGTCTCTCTTCCTTCCTCTTGCCATGTGATCTGCTTGTACCTGCCGGCTGCCTGCCACTTTCCACCATGAGTAGAAGCAGCCTGAGGCCCACGACAGATGCAGCTGTCCCAGAATCATAAGCCAAATAAACCTCTGTTCTTTATACATTACCCACTCTCAGGTACTTCTGTCATAGCAACACAAAATGGACTAATATACTTAATAATTCATACTGGGCTTGGTTAGACAAAGTAACTAATCACTCTGATTCTCATCTACAAACAGGGTAACAGTACTTTTTTCTCATCTACAAACAATCCTTAATAGTCATGAGGATTCTACCAGAGAAAGGTAGGTTGAACTGAAATAACCTACCATGTGACTCAGTTACCAAGAGTGTTCAGAAGTTATGGCAGACACTACCAGTTGTTCACCAATATTTAATAGCACAACTCTTCACGTTTAACTGGTCACATGGATGGACACATGGCTACCCAGCCAATGACTACATTTTCCTGCCACCCCTTGCAACTCAGTGGAGCCTTATGAACAAGTGGTGGTCAACAGGAAATGACATGGCCAATTTCCTCCAAAAGAATGTGCATAATTCCTCTTGTCCTTTTTATTCTTCCTACTTGCTGGCTAGGAATTGATGAGAACTGAGGTAGCTAACTTGGACCCAAAGTTGGAGGCTGTGTTGTGTGAATGGCAGAGTGGCATTAAGTCACTTACCTCTCTATTCTATTCCATAAGAGGGAAATAACCTTTGATCTTGTTTAACACACTATACTTTTTAATCTCACTGTTACAACACCCTAGCCTGCACACTAAGCAACACAGAAGTATTTCTACTGAATCAGGTGTAACTGGTTACCTAACGATAGCTTACAAGAATTATAAGTAGTAACAACAGGAAATAAACATCTTTCTGTGAAATGACCTTGAAGACTTTAAAATGTCAGCTATAGCTTTATGTACCTGGTATTTAAATTCTTTCACCAGGTAAACCCCTACTAGTCACCCACACCTTTACCACCCACTCAGTGCCACATAAAACTGGGAGTCTGGGATCCTAAGGAACCACTGGCTCATGGTTCCAGTTTCTGTCTTGTTTCTGATTCTTCTAACTTTGATCTTTTCAATTTTATTTTCTCGCCCTTAGCCTTGCCTTGTCCCTTGAATCTAATTCATGAAACTATTTTCCTAGTATGACCCATACACATCCCCTCGATTAAGCTATTCCCAGCTTCTCCATGCAAATGTCTTCTCAGTCTAGCCCAATTTCTGATTCCATATTTCAATGCAGATTTTCACAGCATGTATCTCCACTGTTCAGCACTCAGTTTAAGTCCTAAGACAAGGACCTACTAGTCATGACCTACCCATCATAACTGACTCATTTCTCTTGAAAAGCTGAGCTGCGTTCCTATATTTTAATTCATACAAAAACCAAAACCCCCCCAAAAACCCATTGATATCCTCACACATACATACACATCATCACTCTCCATGTTTTTTTAATTCTTTTACCTATTTTGCTGTAATTATCTGCAACAAAGTCTTCCAAACCAACCATCTTCCAGAAAGTGTCATCCCAGCCTTTCTCTGCCAAATATGTCCATTTGCACACCAGGGAACAGAGAGACCTAAGAAAATGCAAGAGAGAGAGAATCAATAGTATGAGCTAGGCTTCCTTTAATTTTGCCAAATATCTGCCTAGATATGTGCAGTGATATTGAAGAAGTGAAATAAACCAAAGTAGATAATTATATGTCCCTGTTTAGATTAATAGTCTCCATGTATACCTGTTAATTTTTAATAACACCTTCTTTCACTTTCAAAAGGGTCTCAGCCTTTTATTTGGATCCTGATCAAATTGTGTATAAGAATATTTCTATTTATATCCATATTTATGTTTATATGACATTTGTGAGATAATTAGAAATTATAACACTGACTAGCTCTTTGATGAAATTCAATTAATTATCACTAAATATTAGATATGGTATTGGTTGTTGTGGTTATGTTAAAAAAAAGGATCCTTATCATTTAGTGATACATACTGAAAAATGTAAGTATAAGATGATATGATATTTAGGATTTGCTTCAAAATAGCATGAGAAGGGGAAGTTAATAGGGCAGGATTGTCCATGGATTGTTGGGCTTCAGTGATGGGTTTATGGGTGTTCATTATACTACTCTTTTTATACATGTTCAGAATTCTCTATAATAAAAAGCTTTTTAAAAAAGTACCCGGTATACATAAAAAATGATATGGTCACTCCAGTCTAAAGCAATATTTAACAGGAGGAAGACTTGAATGCTGGAAGGTGTTCTCCTTTCCAGCTTCATTTCTCATCAGCTCATCCTGAATATTCTACATTCCAACAATAAAAAATCATTTACAGTTCTCTAAAAAAGTCATTTTCTTGCACACTTCTGTGCCTTTGCCCTACCCTATCTGTTGGGAAAACTCTTGCCAGTTTCTTTGCTCTGGTAACACAAATTCTTATTTTAGCCTAGGCTGAGACTCCAGCTCTGGGTTAGGTGCTCCTCCGCTGATCTCCCAGAGCATGAAGTATATCTTTTATCACAGCCCTTATCACACTATGTAGATAACTGCCTCTTTATTTACCTTCCCTATAGTCCTATTGCCTTCCAATCTGTTTTCCATATTGTGGCCAGAGCAAACTTTATAAAATGAAATCTGTTCTACTGACCCCCACTTAAAACCCTTCAATTGATCCTCACTAACTTCAGGAAAAAGTCCAACGCTTAGCAAGGTTTAAAAGACCCTCCGTGACATGACTGCTCACCTCCAGTTTCCTCCCTTGCTATTCCCAACTTTGCTTTCTCTGTTCTGCAATATTGAATTACTTGAAGTTTCTTATAGCAGACCTTCATTTCTTACTTCCCTGTGCATGAAATCCTTTGCCTCATTCTTCCTGGAATGATTCTCCCCGTTATTCATCTAACTCCTAGTTGGCCTTCGTAACTGAGCTCAGATTATCCCTTTTCAGGAAGCCCCAAAGGCAGGCAGGCTGAGTCCAAAGCCTCTTCTCCAAGTTCCAGTGTGGACACGACCTTATCTTACACTTACCATAGTAATTGTCTCTGCCCTTTCACTAAACCAGCAACTCCTCAGCCCTACTCACTTCTATATCAGCAATACCTAGACTGACCACCTTCAGGAATGTGTCAAACCTCAATACACACTGATTGAATGGAAGCATTAAAGACTAAATGTAGCTTGTCCATCTCATCACAGGTAAATGGTAAACATGGGGAGATCATACCGTGTTATAGATAACCCACTCTCAAAGGGAAACCTATCTATAAAACCATTTTTACAGATAAACCTACCTCATTCAGTCATTCACATAGGCTCACTCATTCACCCAATCACTCAAATATTTAGCATTTGTTGACTATGATCCAGGAACTATGCTAGGTCCTAGGGAACTAGTAGCATGCAAATGACCTGGTCTTCTGCTCTCATAGAAGCTAAAAGTTTCATTGGGGTGACAGAATCTACCAAACAATTACCCCTAAAATCATATACTAACAAATAGCAGTAAATGTTCTGAAGGAAGTAGAGGTTGAAAAATGAGAGCCTTTGGCAGAAAAACCTGAAGTAATCTGGTAGGGATGAGGGGAAGAAAACATCAACGAGGGCTCCATAGAGGATGTGGCATTGAGTAAGGCCTATATGTCTTCTGAAAGCAACAAATGTTATTTGCCATTGATGATTTTTCAGATGTGACATAGATGGCAGAACACATCAAGCTGTGCTCAGTGGTATGGGTATAGTGAAAGGGTGCTAGCATCAGTAGAAACTTAATATATGCATGCTAAATTACTCATCTTACTTAAGCAAGATAATTTTTTGAATGTATGGAGAAGGCAGCCACCTATATACCATATTCTAAAAAATACACAATAGGCTAACTCCTCCTGGCACAATGTCTGAAATTCCAACTTTTTGGAAGCTCTGATAGCATTGCTCCTTCCAATAAGCTATGAAGCAAAAGAAAATATAGAAGGACTACCTCCAATGATCCAACCACATAGGACAACTCCTCATTCCTCAAATGCCCCAATCATGTTTGCACATTGCTGTGCCTCTACTTTGATTATTCCTTGCTTCTTAATTGATTACTACTCCTTTCACCCATCCTTGTCTACTTGGTAAACTCCAAGTCATCCTTTTATGGCCTAGTTCCAATGTCAGCTCCTCTGCAAGTTTCCCTACTATCTTCAAGCTAAACTCATGGCTCTCTCCTCTGAAGTGCTACTGTGAGTTGGAAATATTGCATTGTAGTTCTTAACAGCTGAAGCAAGTTGAGTTCATGGTCCGAAGTCTTCATCCCTCCACATATCCACATCCTCTGCCATGTAACTTTCTAGTGCTGTACCCTCCTCCTCCTCCTCCTGCCCCCTGTACTGTGGGCAGGGCCTCCTTTCTTACCTCTAGACTTTGGGTTCTGTCATGTGACTGAATTTGGCCAAAAGAATGAAGCCAAAGTGACTGCATACCAGTTCCTAGTCTAAGCCTCAAGAGATTTGGTGTGTTTCTGCTTGTTCTCTTGTGCCTCTTGTATTGCCATGAAAAGATCATGCTGGGGTAGCCCACTGGTTCCATGAGGAGAAGAGATATGTGGATCAGAGCAATGATCAGCCAAACCCAACCTGGATCAGACACCCCCAGTCTGTCTTGAATCAACTCCGATCAGACAGCCAAAACCACAGTGAGTCTAGATGAGACCAGAAGAACCACCCACCAGAGCACAGACTAAATGAGCTGCCCATGAGCCAAATAATGATTATCGTGTTAAACTCTAAGCACCAGATGTGGTTTGTAACAGCAATAGTTGAACTACTCAACACTTTGCAGCATAACTAAGTTAAACCAAGATTTTTTTTCTCCAATAAGGGGAAGGGTAGGAATGTCTCAGTCCTTATAGCAAGTTAGAATAAGTGGCCAGAGAATATGCTTGCAGTGAAGCTGACTGAACCCAGGAGGTAGGAAGCTTTATGGCTACAGTTGCCTCTAGAAACTCCATCTTATATTAGGATTATTCAAACACCATCAGGGTTCATTTCATTTGGGTCTTTTTAATCAAACTGGTGGGTATATTTTTAAGCAAAATTGGAGTCTCCAGAAGAGAGATGAAGTATAGGATTATTCAAACACCATCAGGGTTCATTTCATTTGGGTCTTTTTAATCAAACTGGTGGGTGTATTTTTAAGCAAAATTGGAGTCTCCAGAAGAGAGATGAAGTACAGAACTTTGTTTATCTTGTTGGGTAAAGGCAGGGTACTAGGAACAGAAAAAAGGGTTTGCCTCTCCCTGAGGCTTCTATTATACAAGGGTTTTGACATTCCTTGAAGTGTTTTAGTAGGCAACTTGCCCTCCTGGATGACAATGCACCTTCAGGCAAGCGGAACCTACCAGCTCGTGATGCCACCATTCCCCCCACCCGAGGTTTGCGGGATCAGAGTTTGAGACAAGCACCTCAGAGAGTCAGGGGCTGCACTGGCAGGCTGAGTTGCTTCCAAGATCAGCAGCCAGAGAGGAGTGCTGCTTCTGCCCAGAGAGGCCTAGGAAGAGAGAAGGGACCACTCACTGTTGGCCAGTTTCTTCACTGCCAGCCAGAATAGTAGGGCAAGCATTGCTGTACTTTTCACTGCTTTCAGATTTGTTAATGCCAAAGAGACTCGAAAAACCTAAATGAGGGTCAAAAGAACATAAATCAATGAGTAAGCAAAACCAAAACAATGCTTAACTTAGGGGAACTAGTTCACCTGAAAGAAGATCGCAGAGAACATCTGTGAAGAGGCAGGTCCCAAGGAAGTAGAAATGATGAAAAACTGGAAGAAAACATCAATAATGAAAGCAATGAGAAATCAGAAGAAAAATACCAGAAAGACTTTCTGGAACTAAAAACAGTGATTTTAAATTTCAACTTAAAATTTAAAATTTCCACAGAAGAACTAAAAATTCACTGGCACCGATGAAAATCAAATTAATGCTCTGACCAAGTGGATGAAATGTCTTACTACAAGCAACAAAGACAATAAGAGATAAAAATAATGAGGGAAGAGATAAGAGGCTTGGAGGACAGATCCAGCAGTCTAACTTGAGAATAATAGGAATTCCAGAAGGAACTATTAAAAAAAGTAGACAAGAAAAAAGAAGAACAGAACAGATGAGGGAGATATTAGAATTAAACAAATACGGTACTATATATTTTATTATGCTGAGCTGAGGACTTAAGCCTGCAGATTAAAAGTCTCATTAAGTCCAGGAAGTGAATCCAGGAAATACTTGCATTTCAAGAGTCAACAGAAAATTATACTAGCTTCCAGACACAAAGAATAGGCAACGGACACAGACTAGCTAAGGAATTCCCATCTACAGCTCTGGAATGTAGAAGACACTGCAACAATGTACAGACTATTAGAAAAATGGATCCAAGAATCTTATACCCAGACAAAATATTATTCAGCTGTCAGAGAAAAAGAAAAACATTTTCAACATTCAAGGACTCAAAAAGTAAACTTCCCTTATCACAGGGGAAACCAAGGACTAGAAAAGCCAATGGACACTTACATCTCTCTCACACATACACACATGTATGCATA